GAGCCTCCCCRAGGAGCCGCCGGAGGCCTCGAGCCTGAAGAGGAGGCGGCTGTCGGAGTCTGGAGGCCCCGAGGGATGCGGGGGGTTTCTGGGGGTGAGCGGCCTCTCGGAGTCCGGCGCCTCTTCGGGTGAGGACGCCCGAGGTTCTCCGCCGAGGAACGGGCGCAGGAGAGGAGCTGGGGGAGAGCGGCCAAGGGACCCCCGCGCCCCGGTGCAGGAGGCCGGGGTGAGCTCCAGCAGCTCCAGCAGCTCCAGCGAGGACGAGGGGGACCGGGGCCGGAGGGCCAGGGCCGCCCTGGTGACGGCCAGGCCCGTGTTTGGGAGGAGAAAAGGGAAGCCGAGACGTGGCAGGGCCAGAGCCAGGTGATTCCGTGGTGATTCCGAGTCTGCCTTCTCTGTGCCTGCGAGGGACACGATGAAATTAAAAGTGTTGGCACTTCAGTGTGTGGTTTGTAAAAAGATTGTCCGTGGGTCACCTTTGTCCCGTGTCCTCTTTCTCTCTTCCTGATTCCGTATCTTACACTGTCTGGTGCTTTCTGACCACATAAGGAAAAATGGAACCAAGGATCTACATGACCAGCACCCCTCTCAGAATGCCCCCTCTGACTCATACCTAGGTGAGAAGAAAGACRCCTGTACAGTCTAGGAATAAATAGTGGCAGCTCCAGGAACGAAATAGATTCCTCTCCCCACTGCTTGCTGTTCTCCCTCAAGCTCTTCTTAAAATGATAGCAGGGGGGACCCTCCCTGCTGGAGCATATTTGAAGAACATGATTGCTGTGATGTTAGCAATTAATTAGGAAACCTGACTCAGGCGCTTGTTCTTCCTGTGAGCATTAATGATGGGAACCTCTGCACTGTAATGTTGCTTTTACACTACTTCAGTTGTCAGAAGCTGACTTCTCTGTAAATAAATTGGGTGGCTCAGGGGTTCATCAAGCCAGTGTAGGTGGGTCCACGTTAGGTGTTGACTACTGTTGGCACAGCTCTTTGTCCAGTGGTCAGCCTAGGTTACTTTAGGTTTACTAGGCGGAGATCTCCAGCAAGAGCTACTCCTGGATTCCTGATTGCTTAGTACTAACAATGTATGRATAGTACTGCCTGCTACTTTGAGTCTAGGGTACCTTCAGATGTGCCTTCCCAAGTTCATAATCCTTCTGGTATCTTTCATATTTCCATCTTTCCTTGTTTCCACCATTTGGCCTTCAAATTGAAAATCTTCACCAAAGAAAATAAGATACAAACAGATACTTTTCAATGAGTCCTCAGGATTTTAGGCTGTCCTTTGTTTACTGTTCAACCAAACTTCTCCATACTTGGACTTCAGCTGTTACTTTTCTATGCTCATTGTTTCTTCTTAATTTCAAATATGGCTTCTGCTTCTCKCAGTCTTCTCTAGCAGCTTCCTTCTCACATTGACAATGACGTCTACACAATAAACTCAAGTCATTTCTTAATGCCTCTTTGCTCTAGAGGTATTTGAAGCAGAACACTTCAGTGAGGACAGGAATATGTTTTCATATCATTGGTATTTTTCAAAGGTACTGGTAATTGGGAGTTTTTGCATATTCATGTGGGTAGAACAGTGCTAAATATTTTAATTTTGTTGGCTTTAATAGATAATTCAAATTTATTTTCCATTGTGTTAGCTGATATAAAGTCTGTCACTGTAACAGAGACTTTCCTATACATGGTCTAGGTGAGCTGGAGCTTCTTCTCTCTTACTCTACTGTCGACGTGTCAACAGAGGAAGTTGTTGTCTTTTGAGTTATTCAGAGCCCAGGTTACCATCCTCTGGGGTGTCTTGCTTGAACAGACTGTGACCACTGCATCAATTTTTCACCCTCCTGGAAGGGGAAAGAACCAAATCCMGGACAAGCAGAATGTCTTACATTAAGGGTGAATGGGAAAATCACTTTTCTTCCACTTCATTGACCTGAACTGAGCATTTGGCCATACTTAGACATTCTCAGAAATGTGATTTCTACCTGGTCTGTGCCTAGGAAGAAGGAGAAAATGGATATTCAGGACCATGAGAAACATGCTGAAAATTATATTTATAGAACCCTTTGATAGTATATCCTCTTTTTCAGTTTAACYGTGTGACCAAAGGATATTCTTTTACAAAGGAATAGACAAGTTTAGAGACATTAACTGACTATAAAAGCCACCCATCTAGTCAGTAAGATTTTTTTACCTGGGGCTAGGGATGTGGCTCAAGCGGTAGCGCGCTCGCCTGGCATGCATGTCGCCCGGGTTCGATCCTTAGCACCACATACAACCAAAGATGTTGTGTCTGCCGAAAACTAAAAAATAAATATTAAAAAAATTCTCTCTCTCTCTTCAAAAAAAAAAAAAAAAAGATTTTTTACCTGAACTCAAATCTAACTCAAAATTCCAGGGTTTTGTTTTACTTACAAAAATAGGTTGCCTGTTGAAAATAATCAGYAGCAAAGCCAATTTATCATTATTCAGAGCAAGTTGATTACCTATTACATCTAAATGATACCATCTTTTCTATAAAATTATCTTCCAGGTTATTAATGTTTTCTTCAGCTTTATCTACATTTGCTGTCAAACCCATACATTGAATTTTTTTCATGTATTGTTATTTTTCCTTTCTTTCTAGTAGACTCTTTTTAAATATACTCTAATTCTTTGGTATAGTTTCCCTTATATGTTTTTGGATCATCATAAACAGTTGCTTTGAAGCCTATATCAAATAATTCCATTATCTGGGTCACCTGTGAGTTTATTTCTATTGTCTGTTGATGTGCTTGGTGAATTTTGACTGAAAAAAWTTCTGAATGAGAAACTGTGGCTGTTCTGGCCCCCCACCCCTGCAACCAGGGATCCCAGAGGTATTCTGCCAGGCAGCAGGGCTGATCACGTCATGTCAGGACAAAGTGGACTCAAGTCTGGTTTTCAGTCTTTACAAAACTCCAGCTGCTGCTCAGTCCTTATTCCTAAAAGGTTCTCCAGGAGTACCTGCTGAAAGCCTGGTGTTTCTCTTCTGAACTTTGTTCTGCTTTTTGCCTTGTCATGCTTGGGAAATTGGCCTCATGCCCTAAACAGCACAATTACTCATTGCTGTCAGTGCAAGGTCAGTGAGGAATGTCAGGCTACTTCCCTGTCCCTTCTTTGGGATCCAGGCCCTCAGTGCCTGGATGCCTTGCCAGCTGTTCTTTTGTCTGCCCACTTCTGTGAGGTTGCCTGAAGCTGAGCTGGGTCCATTGTTTCCTCTTGGGCTACTCAGCCTCTTTCTCTTCACCGGTGATCAGTGCCTGGAGTTCTTGTTGCCCGGACASCTCGATGCTGTCTAACAGGAGCACGTGAGCATGTGTGTGTTTGTATTTGAAAACCTGCTTTTCTGGTTCCTAAGGAAGCAGAGGTCTGCTCTAGGTACATACAGCCAGAGGCAGAAATCTCTGTGTCTCTGCTTTTTAAACAGTTCTGTATAATTGAAATGATTATGTCTAACAGTTGGCTAAGATGATTGATTTAGGGATTCTGCTTCTGAAGAAATCTAGCACCAAGGATTGCATCATCTTTCAAACAGCTCTTTGAAAAAAGTCATAATTTTATACATTAAATAATTCTTTATTCTTGCTTTAAAAATAGTCAAAAAGAGTGTCCTTTACCCAAAATTAACTGCCTATGAATACTAGTTTGTATTGGTTAGGATTTTAGACTTTCTAGAATGTTTTTACCTATAATATTCACCAACAAATATGTATATTATATGCCTTTTATATCCCTATTTAGTAGATGAGAAAGCCAGGTATATGGTCAAAATCACCAGCTAATTATTGGTAGGAATAACTAAGTGGAGCCTCCTGAAGTGCAGGCCTGCCTGGTACAGCAGAGTGACYTTGGTTAGCTCTGTGTAAGTCATGGAATGTCAAGTGTTTCTTGCATTCCTAAGTTTAACTYTGCAATATTGCTTGGCTTTGTTGCTTCAAGTAACTTGTATCAAGGGGATCTTTTCAGAGACAGGGGAATGTTTATGCATGCCTACAGGTACATAGTGCACCTGTGTATGTACAGAGATGAACACACCCTTAGCTTGCCATTCCACCTGAATAGGAAGGAGTTGGGGTGCTTTGATTCCTGGGCACAGAGCAGTGCTGTGTAAATTCTGATGCAGTTGGATTCTGAAAACACTGCTCACACCCAGACAGACTGGTGATATGAAAATTATGCAGCCTCCATTTCACAGGACATGATAGCCGTGGAGTATTAGAATAAGCCTTGACATTGACGTGGGAGAACTGGATTGCTGCCTCCGTGCAGTCTTTGCTTACTCATGGGAGTGGTTTGCATCTAGCTATTGGTTTTAGCTCTTTCATGGACCGCAGTCATTCTGCTATTCAGCCCCTTCAGAAGGGGCTGTGTAACCAGAGGCGAGGAAGCTGCAGCTGTCGGGATCCTAATCCTTCTGCACAGCCCCACTGCCAGTGTGTACAGTAGTAAACTCTGCTTTGGTGCAAGCCTTTCAGGCTCTACCAGAGGACYCGGCAGCAAAACAGAAGTTGTGGATGATACTTTTTAACCTTCTGTAAACTTGGCTAAGTCATTTAGGTGTGTCTAGGCTTAACATTTAATAAATACTGGCTTTCATGTGGACAGGTGTAATGAAGACTGCTTTCTTTAATGGAAGAGATTAAATTGGGAACAAAACATATGTCTTGCTATTATTTGAGCTGTGACCTTGTTTGTAAACTCTAGGGAAAATAATTTGGCTTCTAATTTACTGAGGCATGCTGTGAAGAAATGTGACTTGTAAGTAGTTTGGGATCCTTGGAAGAAAGTGTTTTACTAATTTATGGTAGTACAGTGATAGCTTCTATGATACCAGTCAAACTTTAGTGAGGTTTGAGTAATGGCTCATTTGAGCTAATTCTGATTATCTGCTCCACTTGAGAGGCATGAAATACTTTGATTTATTCAGACTTATATGTCTGCTGGGATGGTGTGCAWAGATGGTAGAAGCTTCTAGGATGATCATCTGGCCCTGGTGCTGTTTGACACTGAGGAAGTGCTAATGACGCACAGATGGGAACAAATGAACTCTGCACTGGTTGCTAGGATGCTTTATTTTAGATTAATATCATGGTTTTCAATGCACCAAGCAAAACCCATTTCTTCCCGATGTTTTAGTCATCTCTTAAATTTTGGCCTTGCTGTCTTACCAGGCAGTATGGTGTGCCTCTCTGAGGCAGCTGTTTGTCTCTGGTGAGGAACACGTTCTTTCTCTAGYAGCTTATAGAAGTCCTGACTCTGAAGCCTTTGTTCCAGTTTTGATTTGTACTAGGTAGTGTYGAGTTGGTCTTGATTAAATCATGCTTTTTTATTATGTGGTGCTTTAATATTCCCTCAGCTATATTTGAGGTTAAACTTTAGTAGGTAAGCATGAGTATGCTCAGTACATATTTTTACTTCATTAATACCATTTGACATTTTATTACTTGCCTAGTTTTCAAGAAATGATCAAGAAAACATCAATATATAGCCATCCATTGATTGATCACTTGATGGAGCCAGAAGTTCAAGAAGGTAAATAATTTTTGTTTCTTTCACCATTTGATCAATTCTAAGAAGGCAAATAATTAGTAGAATATAAAATATTCCTTTGGCAGTGTTCATCCATGTCTTGAAGGAAGCTAGGACATTGATTTACTGCATGTTATGTCTCAGCGTGTGTTTGCTAACCTGAGATATCTCCAGTAATTTTTTATGCCTACTGTTATCATACCTAGGATCCTGGGGATATGTTTGAGATAATTTTGGCAGACAATAAATAAAATATATAGAGTTACTAAGTAGTTAGAACTTACTTACTATATATTTAGAGTTTTTCTTTATCTGTAAAGATGGAAAATTTTMTTTTTACCCAATACCATACATGAAATGCATGTTTGTGATTTGTAAGTTATTTTAGATAAGAAGCTTGCAAGAGAGATCTAAATAGTTTTATAGAAAAAACTGAAGATTTTACTAATGCTTGGATGAATGATGAATCTAGGCTATAAAAACATCTGTAACACGTGTTTATGGACCATCCCTCTGACTATTAATTAGAGGCAAATACATCATGTAATTTGACCTCTAGAWGTAAAAAGAATTTGAGTTCTACAACCAGTGTAGTTATTTGAAATTAGCCCACCATTACTACATGGTCTTAAATATGAAGTATGTGTTAATGTAATTTGACCTCTGGATGTAGAATTTGAGTTCTGCCATCAGTGTAATTATTTAAATTGTCCTACAAGTTTCACATAGTCTTACGTATGAAGTGTGAACCTGTGTGGTTTTCACAATATAAGTACCCCATTATCTCTAGATTAAAAGTGTAGACTTGTAGATATTCTTGACAGAGACTGGAACAATTACCATGTTTTTGTTGAGCAATTCAAAACAAATAAAATCATCTTGCTTCTTTCTTTCTCTCCCTCCTGGTCTATCATGGTGTGGCGCTTTCTAAGAATTGTCATCCTGCTTTTCCCTTTTTTGGCCAYACCAGGTGGCTTCTACTTAGGTGAGCGTGTCTTCAGGCTGAGAGAGTTGGGTGCGTGCCCAGGGTTGGCAGCCTACCTGGCTTAAACACCAGGTTTTCCTGTAGCGATTCTTGCAAACCTAAACATTTAAGTTGTAATCACTTAGAGAATCCAGCCATTTAGATAATTTGAGTGAAGATACAATTTCTGTGTGGTTTATGAATAAAATTACATCATTATCATTACCATTAGTAACAATTCTTGGTTTCAACTGTGCTTATGATAATTTGGCAAATTACAAAGGAAGTGGAAGAAGTTCAAGGTAAGGTTGAGACAGAAGTAGTATTAAAATATTTTACAACATGAACAAACACACCCCATAATCATCTGTATAGCCAATTAAAGCTTTAAAAATATGTTCAAAAGCACAGAGCTCAGGGATTAAGGGTGTGCTGTTAGAGCAGAACCAGGCGTTGTGTTGCTGGCAAAGGCTCTACCCAGAAGGGGAACACGGCGTTCTCGGGCACCGGGGGGGGGGGGTATTGATATGTCCTACCCCAGCTCTTTTATACTTAGTACCTCTTACTTGGAAAGGATGGAGCGAACTCCTAGCTTGTATTTCAACACCAGCACCAAGATTCAAGAACTATAAAATGTCACTCATTTATACACAGATTAAAACTACGACTAGGGCGCGTGCTGGCAATTCCTTTCTACATGTTTCTGATGTGGAATTATAATCTGTCTAAAACCTCATCCACATGAACAATGCCACGTGTCCCACGCTTGCCTGCAGCCTCCTCTAGCTTTAGCACATGTAGCATAGTTTTCTAAAACGGTCTCCTGAGAGTCTGCAGCCATGGAGGAGACTGTCCTTCCCCAGACTCAGGGGTTCTGGTGCACAGCAACTCAGATCACTCCAGTTGCTTATTAGACTGCCTTGAGTCAGTTTGGGTCTTTTCAGAAGTAATGCCCAAATGGGATTAAATATGCAAAGACTTTATTTGGGGAGATGTTTGTGGGAGATAAAGAAGCAAGGAGCAGAAGTAGGCAGAATTCTCAGATCTCGGCTTAGGTCCTACACCTAAGAAGGGGAGAGATGGATAGACTGGGTAGGAAGAGCTTCCAATAGTTCTGAGTCATTTCAGGTGGGCAAGGGATGTCCCTGAGCTGAAGCTGACCACTGAAGGGGCGTCCAACATGGGAGGGGCTGGCTTTGGTAGGCAGCCGCAGGGGGAGGAAGCTCTCAAGGAGCCAAAGACACAGAGGGCGGCACTGTTGGCAACTGAGCTCCTGATAGCAGGTTCCYTGCATCTGAGTGGCTCCCCTCGATGGCCAGCACATCTTATCATAGATGACCATGCCTTAACTGTGGGTTTCCTGTGCAGATTTTCCCCTCAGTGTATTTCCTGTCTCAGTATGTGGCAGAATCACTTTCCTGGCTACCCAGGAGCCTTCTCCCTCTCCTTCATGCCCTTCCCCATTACAGCCTGTTGGTTTCGCCTGCCCTCATCAATTGCTTTGATTCTGATCTTTATCATTTCTTCTCTCCAGTGTTGTTAACTGCCTTTAATTGGCTATCTCACTCCGGACTACCTTTCTTCACCCTCTCTAGTTCCTTTTTCACACTGTGGCTTGCATGATCTTTTTAAAATTCAAACCTTACCGCATTAGGCTTCTGCTTAAAATTATTCAGTGTCTCATTATTTCCTGTAGGATAGAATCAAAACTTCTAAGCATGGTGTAAGTGTCTTATCTTGTGCTACTGACCCCTCCACTTACCTCATACATTCTCAGAGTTCCTCGAATTGTAAAATTGATCAAGAGATCTTTCGCCAGTGGGCTGACACATATTGTTCCCTATGTGAGACACGTCTCCTCTTAAGACATGTCTTACTTGCCTGGCAAACCCATAATCATGAAGGTTCAGGTAATTCTTTGCTGAGCTCCTGAGAAGTGGAACTTTGAATTTTTGAATTATCTGKTTGAGCCTCTGTTAGAGCACTTTCATGTTGGTCTGTCTTCATCGTCATGGTGCCCAGGTGCTCAATAAATGAGTGAATAAATGAATTAACTATAACCAAGGCTATTGGTTGGACTTAGGCTTGATCGTTAGAGATGGTCTTATATTTCTGGTCACCAGCCAGTTGACTCCCTTCAGGCCTAGTGTAACATCCTACTCAGGGTATCACATGAAACTCTCTCCCGAGGACTTTCATAAATCTTTACGGAGTTGGATTAATGAATAATATGCTTTTATGAATAATATTAGCCTTACTGCACAAAGAAAAAAGTTTACCTGAGTAATTCTATCTCTGTTTATGAAACCTACCAAACTAGTGTGAGGTAAAATATGTGATATTATAGTTGGGGTACCATAGCATTATTAAGGTGAGCATCACTCATTAACACATTTTAAATATTTAAAAAGTAACCCGAATAAGTATCAGCTAAAAAACAACCAATTTCACATGTTTAACAAAAATAACTCAAGTTTACTGCCTCAATCTGCCTCAGATGTCTTTAAAACTCTGGTTTGCATGTCAAGTTTGGGTGCCAGTTGTTGTCCCCAAGAGGAGGCATGTGCTGCTCAAAGGACAGCGGTGGGACTCTGCCCTTGACTCTGTCTGCTGCCTTCATCAGACTCCTGTCAACTGGGCCTTTGCAACGGGCTTGTCATTAGCTTCTGACCTCACCAGTCCCACAGCCACTGCTGCCAGAGATTGTTTCAGTCAGCTTTTTCACTGATGTGATGAAAGTACCTGACAAGAATAACTTTAGAGGAGGAAAATTTTATTTGGGGCTCATCATTTCAGAGGTCTCAGTCCATAGATGGCCAACTCCATTTATCTTGGCCTGAGGTAACGCATGTCAGAGGAGCATGAAGGTGAAAAGCACCAGGAAGCAGAGAGAGATTAAACTCAGCTCACAAAATATCAACCCCAAAGGCAGCCCCCACCCCATGGCCCATGGCCACCTCCTCCAGCCATACCATGCCTGTCTACAGTTACCACCCTGTTAATCCCTGGTAGGAGATTAATGCACTGAATAGGTTATAATTTCACCTCTAAATTTTCTTGCATTTTCTCACACATGAACTTTTGGGGTACACCTCACATCTAAAGCATAACAGAGGTAGTTCTTGAGCAGCACATCTGATCACATCAGTTCCTGGCTCCTCCTTCCCTTATAGAACAAGGATCAACACTGCAACAAGTCTGGTCTCAGCTTCTTCAGGCTCATTTCTCACAATGATCCCAGGTGCACCTTGATCTTTTCATAGCTCCTGAGCACAAATGTCTCCTCCTCAAGGTTGCTTCTCCTGATCCCACCAACTTGGGTACTTCTATAGCCTTTAGAGAAGGGCTTTTCAATTTCACTGACAGTGAAATTGAATCTTTCCCTTTCATGATTCAAGGAGTGAACTTTGAATACAACGAACTGAGGTTCTTCTTTGTTTTCTACTTGCATCCTGAGCAGTCTCAATAAAAGAGGAATTTTCTTCTTCTGTGAAGACATAAGATGTCTACTCAACTAGAGTTCCAGACTCTAAATTCTTGAAACTTAGTGCACCAGCAGATAGAATATATCTGTGGACTCTTCTCAGGAACCCATTTCAATATAAGGGCTCAAGATATCAACATCACTGAGACATTCACAATTGTACATTTCAGATTAGCCTGTGCCCATTTATTTATCTGAAAATATCTTTAACATCTTAAAAAAATCCGTAGGCATTTCTAAAAAGCACATGACATTCCTCTTTGAAGAGAAGATTTGGTTGAATGACAGTTGCTTTCATTTAGGAGAGTGGCTTGACTTGATATTTTGCTGACACTTTCTCATGACAGCCTGCAAATGGAGGCTCAAATTCACTTGTCATTGCTATTAAAAAGTTGCTGTTTTTCTCCTTTTTTATTTAGTGTATTTCTGTGCTCTAACCCTTCATTTATTATTGTTCTTACTGACCTTAAAGATATAAAAGAAAGGACTGTAGACAGAGTTGCTATTTTGGAAGGCTTTCTGTAATCCAGCACCAAAATCAATTCACCACTGAATTTTTCTCAGGAGAATAGTCTTCATAGTGTGGCAGAATATTGCTAATTTTCACTTCATACTTGAAATCCCTTTAGTTCTCAGGAGAACAAGAGCCACCTGGTAAATTTTAAATCAGCAAAGATTTAATAGCAGGAAAATGGTATTAGAATTTTTTTTATATGAAAAAGCATTAAAATAGATAAGCCCAAGATAGCAACATAATTATAATACTGTGTCTTGATTATGTTTTATTTAAGATCTTTTGATGATTATGTTTCAATATTAAATTCATCAAGAAAATAATACTCTAAGACAGGTAGATAGCTTTCATCTAAAGGTGAAGACATCAGAAGTTTGGGGGCTTTCACCCAGGAAAGTCAAGATCTACTCTTTTGTGTAAGGTTACCCAGTTTTAGTTTTTTGTCCCAGTGCTAGAAAATAAGGAGAGAATATATGTGGGAAAATTGTCCARAAATGCTTCTAGAATTCCAATATGTGACAATGTTATTAACTTTTTGAGGAAATTGCTCTTCTGATATTAATTAAGAACCAAACACTATCTGCTAATTCATAAATCTTTTGAACACTAAATCCCGTATTCAGTAAACAATGCAGCTTGAGGAATGTGTGCTTTGTAAATTACCTTTGGTGTATAGATCCTTCCCTTCTATTGCAAGGAGGCTGCTCCAGGATGCCTGTGTAGTATACTGCTCTTCCCKTTAGATTCTAGGTGAGAGATTCTTGTTATCAACCTGGAAGTAGGTGGTGTCATTACTAGAACTTAATATTACATGTGTCTTCATTTGCATAAAAAATTACTACTGTATTACAACTATTACCTAAAGATCTTTAGGTAGAAGTTCACGCAGGGTAAGAACAGCCTGTGTTTTAAGATGGAAATAATCATAGGGAGATGTATATGTTTCCTTTTAAAATCTCACATATTACATCTAGACATTATTGTGATTTTTTTATTGTCATAAAGAAATTTTGTTTTAAGCTTTATCAGTCCTTTCAAAAGAAACTTGATTATTTTATCAGTGTGGTTCTTAGAAAGATCTTGTTCCTCTTTTAACAAATTTTTTTAAGCAGCCATATTCAGCATAATTTGGCTTTGTGATGTAAATTAAGCTAATTTTATGAGGGTTACTTCTTATGTAATGCCTATAGTAGTCATATAACATTTAAATGCAAAACAGAATATTAATATAAAACATTATCAATTAAATTTTATTCAAACTGATAATGATTTCTATATGATACAAGATCATCATAGTTTTATTACTAGTTTTGAATTGCCATATGTGTTAGATAAAGTTGTTCTTTTTTTAGTGTATATGCAATTAATATGGCTGTAGTTGTTTCACAAAATATTTTTCAAGGTCCTTTGTCTTGGGAGTGTAATTGTCAATTATAACAATATACTCATATATATTTTAAAAATTTCATTTCCACATGAGGACAAAGATGTAGTCATTATCAAAAAGAAAGGACTAGCTCAGTATATTCAGAAAGACAGTCAAAAGCCAGGAATTCATTTGTTATCACTGACTTGTTAGACAGCAGCACTAATCTGGCCAACTAACCTTTAAAAGAACGTGCAAAGTCAGAGGTGTCAAATTGTACCAGTAAATATTCACTGACAAAGTTTCTGTATCAAAGGCTGGAACTTTAGGAGATGCTCCTGGGATTTGGTGTACTCTAACATCTATTAATCCCTGGTACCTTAGGTGACTTGTCAAAGGAGTGCTGCATTTACAAGGAGCAGGCAAGGAGGCCCAGGAGGACACTCTGAGCTAAAGGTCAAGGAAGCAATTAATGTTCTCTGCTTTTCCCTAAAGAGCCACCACAGCAAACCTCCTCCCCCCACTCCTTCATTCTTAGCAAGCCAAGTGCATGTAGTGGAATGAAAGTTAAAGTTCAAATAAAACATATTACCAGTATTATTTGGTTCTTGGAGCTCTTCTGAATGCGAATGCATGCAGTTATTTAAGGAGAAGTACAGTGGAATATATTAGAAGAGGTGGCTCTTGCTGAAGAATACCAATTTTTCATCTTTCTATTTTTGTTGCATCTCTACTGAGGGTCAGTGTGATAGTGGGAGAATTGGGTGATGGACAGGCCCCTTCCTGTGGGCTGTAGCTAAGCGGGAGTTCTTTTGGGGAACACATGGTTCTGACACGCGCACCCCCTCCCCCAATTCTTCTATTTATTAGTTTTTTAAAGTTGTAGCAACTCTTGTGTTCCTTCAGGTCTTTACTATTTTTGAGAAGCAGGTCTATCTCTTCAAATTGTCCTCCTGTGGCTGAGTTTCAAGATGTCTCACCTCCCGGTTCCTCCAGTTTCTTGGTATTCCAGTATAGTGAGACTTCTGCAGCTGCATATGGGACTAACAGTATGATCTGACCAGCATGAAATAGAACAGAGCCTTTACTGCCCTCATTTTAGAAATTATATTCTTAACATGACTTTAGTGTACAAGTTTTTATTGATACTGGTTTTATACTTTTGACTCATATTGAGCTTAGGCCCAGTTAATCCTACATCTCTATTATATCTGCCTCCACCCCAAACAGTACTGCTAAACTCTACCAGAATATGGGCTTTATGTTCACCTTTATTATAACTCACATTATTAAACGCAATCTCTGATGCCCTGAGATAGCACATGCATTGTTGAGGTGTAGAGGAATGAAGTCTGTCTTTCCAGTGTTTCTGAGGGGAGTGACCACATCTTCTGGCCAGCTACCGTATTTCCACCACTCAGACTGCGGCAGGTGCACACCAGGCCTTCAGCACAGAGTTCTAGAGTGAGTGAATGGGTTAACCTAGGAACAAAGATTACTCTGGCCAAAATGGTTACAATGAGACTTTGCTGCCTCATCTCTTCCTTAAGTAGGAATTTAAAACTGTTTTTTGGTTGGATTTGTCTTTTCATGCAGTTTCCTCCTTACATTCACAGTTGGTCTCTATTTTCCATCTTCTCTTCTGGAGAAAACTAAGCCTGACTTCATGAGTGTTGGGGAAGGGGAGGTGGATGGCAAGAGCTGAGAGAGCAGAAAATACTAGAAGGAGCAGTGGATTTTAAGGGCCGGTGTGAGAGAGAAACAGCTTCTCTATCAATGGAAGTCATGTTAGAACAAAGGTTGACCAAAGACAAACTTCTTTCATAAAACCACTCCAGGCACCTCAGCCACAGCACTACTGAACTGTTGAGTTTTCAAGTCTGTGCCACACCATCCAGGGTTTGATTAATTGGTGATCTTGTTCTGTCTGAATTTCGTGATCAAAATAGTAACAGTTAYAAAAATAATGATCATACTTTATGTCTATTCTGTGAGAGGACCTGTTCTCTCCTTTGAGGGTGCTCCCTCTTCTTTCTCTTCTAATACACTTTGCTATACTTTCAAAATAATAATAATGATAGTAGTAGTAGCAATTTTTAGATACCATGTAGCAGGCAATATGCAAAGCACTTTATACGTATTGCTTCCCAACGTCATTTGATATAGATTTCTCTTTCACATTTTACTTAAGTTTGTAAACTCTTAGAGACAAATAGATTAAAAAAAAACACACACATTATATCACAGCTTTTTAAAACTGTAGAAAGGAGGCTCTGGAGCAACCACAAACGGAGCTCAAATTTTGGCTCTTTCATTTATACCCTGTGTGRGCCTGGTCAAGTTAACATGATTCTCCGAGTCTTAGCTTTGTTATCAGTGAAAGTGAAACTAATAGTGTGTACCATACAGTTGTTGCAAAGATTAAGGGCAGCCAGGCGTGGTGGTGCACACTTGTAATCCCAGAGGCTCAGGAGGCTGAGGCAGGAGGATCATAAGTTCAAAGCTAGCCTCAGCAACTTAGTGAGGCCCTAAGAATCTTAGTGAGACCCTGCCTCAAAATAAACAATAAAACAGGCTGGGGATGTGGCTCAGTGGTTAAGTGCTCCTGGGTTCAATCCCCAGAACAACAACAACAACAAAATTAAGTGCAATATTATTATAACATATAGCAGGTTCTAGCACGTTAAGTTATATACTCAATAATTAGTAGTTAAATGTTACTTATTAACCATAAGTAAGATTGTAGATGCCAGCATTCCATGAGTGCCCCAAAATGATAATATAAAAATAAAAATAGGGCTGGGGATGTGGCTCAATCGGTAGCGTGCTCGCCTGGCATGTGCGGAGCGCTGGGTTCGATCCTCAGTACCACATAAAAATAAAAATAAAGATGTTGTGTCCACTGAAAACTAAAAAATAAATATATAAAAAATAATATTAGGGCATATCGTTGGGTGGTATTGCAACATATCTTTTATCTGGTTAAAAGCAAGTTAAATAGGACAGCCTATTATATGTCACTAAAACACCTGTAATCACTCTGTGTACACTCTACAAAAAGGTAGGATCTTCTATCCCATCAAAGTCTTCTCTTGTTCAGGAAGAACTGATTGGTGGTCCTTGGAAACTTACTTCCTTTCTTCCTTCCTCCTCCCTCCCTCTTTCCCTTTCTTCTTTCCTTCCTCTTGCACATTTTAGGCAAGCACACTACCTCTAAGTTGTACTCCTTGCCCAACATATTGCTTAAGTAGTATGTCAGTCACTCTGCATTGCAGAAATGGATAGTGTGACGTCTAGAAAACAGAAAAACATGGACACCCTGATGTGTGAATGTTAACTTACATTATGAAATATTCGACAGTAGACCTTTCTTTTTAGTTTCATCTAAGGTCAGTGAATATTTGAAAGTATCTGAGGCTAGGAAATGCTGCATTTCCATTAGCTGCTTCTCTTCTATCTTGGGTTTCTAAGATACCTACTACCTCTTTGATTTCCTTGCAGAGGCCAGAGAAGACCATGATGACAAGCAGGTGGTCTCAGAGATCATGGCGAGATGTTTTATCCCAACTCTGGTAACAAGCATTTCCTGGGAAGCCTTTCATTTTGTTGGTCATGAGATTCGGATTACTGAAGCAAAGGACTGTTACGGTGCTGTTGTTTGGCCCTCGGTATAATTTCATACAAAATTTGCTACATTCAATTGTTTTCCAGTCAGTTTGGTTCACTGATGTGTTTTACATGGAAGAAGGAAACAGGTTGTATAATGCTACTATGTGACCTCACACAGCACTAAAACTTAGAAATCATGCAATTGGGAAGTCATTTCCACTAATTAATTCTATTTCTAACTTTATCAAAATTTGTGAGACACATAAAAWCATTGTTTACTCCTTCAGTTTTTTATGACTGTAGAGTTTAGAAGAGTTAATGTTTTTATTTCCCATTTTACTGGCTCCATTTGGGTTAAACAATTATAGTGACATCTGTATGAGTCTAACATGCAGAATATTCTCAAAGGGCACCCACTCCTTCAACGACTGAGCATGAAGGACACAGACCCTCCACTGCAGCCTGCCCTGCCCACACACTAAAAATAACTGGTATTATTACTAGTTGCTTCCTTGAAACGTGACCCAATTTAAGCAACTAAACTCTGTACTTTTAGTTATTTCTCTTTCCTCCCAATAATCCCCAAAGACTATTTTTAGACAAAATGTTAAACATACTGGGGATGTAATTCTGTGGTGATTTCCTGGAATGAGGCCTATGAACAGCCACAGATGCTCTCCTACTCACATGGGGATACTCACCTGTAACATCAGTGACACATTTACTGACTGGAGTTTCATCTTGCTCTTTGTTACTACTTGSCAAGCACCAACTTTTTAATTTAATTTTTGTAGGCACTTGTTTTATGCTATTTCCTGGAAACAAATGCAAAGCAGTATAATATGGTTGATAAAAACGTGATTGAAATTGGAGCTGGAACAGGGTTGGTCTCCATTGTGGCAAGTTTACTGGGTAAGTAGGTATTTTTGATTGAATGGGGGAATGAAAATTTAATGATCCAAAATAAGTAGTCTTTACTCTCCAATGTGCTATATGACCTGAGTCTCTTTGTAACCTTAATTGTTTAAATGGACTTCATCAATAAACTGTACCAATCCTTATGTCTCTTGACCATTTCATTCCTGAATTTGTGGTAATTCTCCCATGGGGCGCTAACCCACAAGCCTTAGCTGAAGCACACCTAAGTGGAGGTTCAGTTMATCATCCTGATTATTAGAACAGACTGTGAAACAGGCTTACATGGTTTATTGATGCTGATTTTGATGTTCTTTAGATTTTAGCATTATTTCAATGTTCTTAGGTAGCTGTAGATTCCTTTTGGGTTTTGAAGTCCTATGCTTTTATGAAAAGTGCCTGTTAGAATAGAGAGGGATATTGGAAATCATGTAACAGTCACACATCTGCTTCTATTTTTAGGTGTTTGGATTTATTTTCTCARGTCACTTCCATTCTTTTATGACCCTCCTTCTCTCAACAGCGGCTTCCCCACTGAACGTGTGTGATCATCTCCATGTTTGCCAGAACCTGTTTCAGTTCAGTCTTTCTTTGTTGTTACCTATTTCATCGCCTTAATTTAGCTGCCTTCTCTGAGGTGCACTACCCAAATCTGTCTTGATTTCCTTGATCTTCAGAAGTGCACACCTGCCACTCTACAGTCTTGAGAGGAATTTGAGATTTAGTAATTTACAACTTTCTAAACACTGGAGAGGAGTAGGACCCTTGAAGTTCTCCCAGGTATTTTAAAGAAACAGCTCCGTCCACAGTGCTTTCCAAAGTCACTGTTCCATTTGGTATGGGTAGAGTCAGAGACACTATTTGATTTATACTGAAAGCCTCCAGGTACAGAGACAGAATTTGTGTTTTGGGAACTCATTTGTTTTATTAAGAAGAATTGATCCCTTCAGTGAGTTTGTCTAACTTGGAACAAACATCAAAAGATGGAGGTCTTGTTTAGTCAGTATTCTCAGAGCGGTGGTGCTTATCTCTCTAGACACAAAGTTCTCAAAATTAACAGGTAGTTTATCCTTAGTATTGGCAGGGCACGTTCCTGATCTTGAGATTTAAAAATATTTGTTGAAAATGACCGATTTCATACACACTAGAATGTGGAGGTTCATATTTCTGTGATTTTGCCAATGATGTGCATATTTCCCTCCCATTTTTATACTTTTTACAAAACATTCCTGATCAGTGTTAAGAGAAACTTGACATTGTGGCTAAGGGATGGATTCTCATTTCTCTGAGTGACCTCTTCCAGCATTGCTTTCCCATTTCGTATTCCGGCCTGTGCTTGTCTGATGCTGTTGTTTTATTTTTTATTTTATTTTATTTTATTTTTTTTAATTTTATTTTTTTTATTGGTTGTTCACAACATTGCAAAGCTCTTGACATATCATATTTCATACGTTAGATTGAAGTGGGTTATGAACTCCCAATTTTACCCCAAA